TTGTATGTCAAAGATCGGCTCTTACTATCTGTTTACATAATTATTGTATTTTAATTAGTTTTGTTTTGAATCAAGCAAGACGATTGCGAAATTGTCGATAGTAGATTACGAATATTGCTGAGCAATGTCTGATGTTATTTCTGTTTTTAATTAAAATTAATCTTATCAGTTTTCTTTACTTCACCTATTATTCTTAAACTAAGTAGGCCAGAGCATCTAATATGACAACAATGTCAATTAAACCACTCACTCGAACCACTACACCAAACGGCCGACCAAATTGTTCTGTATTTTGTTATAATATTTGATACCTAATTCTGACAATCCTATTACTATTATCTTGCCCTTGACACTTACCAAGCCCACTGCAATCTGATAATCCAGTGTCTATACCACTCCGTTTGTTAATTTTGGAGTTAGTTTTATTTTGATAAGATTGTGGGAGTGAGTAACCAAAGTTGCCTGAGAGTGGCAGCCGACATGTTAATCACGTGCACAAACAATTGCTATTCCTACTTTTTATGTACAAAACTAGCGGCCCGCCCCGGTTTCGCATGGTTGCAATGGAATTTCCCGGATTTTCTCTTCTGTATTATGCATGTTTTATACATGTAAACCTTCCTCTTCAGTCACTCTAATCTATTAAAAAAACCGCATCAAAATCCATTGCGTAGTTTTAAAGATCTAAGCATAAATACGGACAGACAGCGAAAAGTGAATTTTTGTCTTATACTATGCAGTGAAAAATACAGTGTATAACCATTAGGTAACTCTATGTACCCCTTGATTGAAGTCATTTTTAACCCCCGTGGCGTAGAAAATGGTAAACCCATCAAAAACAATACTTGTCAAAAAAACCAAGTCTCGCAACTCAGTTGTTCTACGGTAAAAAGTTGTGAGATCCATGTAATACCAAGTCCAGGCCAGGAAATCTTTAACGTTTTACATAAATTATTGACTTGGCCATCGCACTAAATAATTTAATTTACACGTGTTTTCATGCGATGTCCAAGTCAATATATTTATGTAAAACGTTAAAGATTTCCTGGCCTGGACTTGGTATTACATGGATCTCACAACTTTTTACCGTAGAACAACTGAGTTGCGAGACTTGGTTTTTTTGACAAGTATTGTTTTTGATGGGATCTCATTTCTTTTTGTATTTTGTAGACAGCAGTTATGTATCTAGAAAACTGGACCGAAATTGAAAAATTTTACTCGACTTGGCGGTTGCACTACCGTGCCCCCAAATATTTTAGTTTTTCCTTGATTCATACACCAAACACTACTTATATTCCAAATTTGAAGCTTCTAGGTCTGCTAGAAGTGCCTTAGAATTTTGATGATCGGTGAGTCAGTCAGTGAGTCAGTGAGTCAGTGAGTGACAAAATTAAGTAACTTTGACCCGTTATAATTCTTAAACTACTGGTTCAAATTGAATGAAATTTTAAATATACCGTGTCTTTACAATGCCTGCATAGCTAATGAAAATTCAGCCTTCTAGTTTTATCCACAACGAAGTTACAGGCGGTCGAAAATGGCCTGAATTGCTTCGAGAAAAGGATGGTACGGCCGTGCCGCTTTTTTGCTCGACTTGGTGGGGGCACTGCCGTGCCCCCAGAAACAACAGAAAAAAATCATCTCACAGACAATAATAATATAGGTCTTGCATTTTTTTTTGCTTGCTTTTCATTTTTAAGAAAATTCAGTAAATCTAGAGATGTTAGATTCGATACAGAGTTGCAAAATAGTATTTGTTACAGCTATTTTAGATACCACAGTATTTAGCTTAACGTCCTAGTTTATTTTAGATCTAAAAACAACACAATTAAACTGTAACTTATCAGCTGTCTGTCGATCGCATTAATCCAAGTTGAAGCAATCATTGTTAATGTTATCACACAATCAATTTAATGTTATCGTCTTTTTAACAACTATTGCATTAGCTGGAACATGTCAATTGCGTGTAATCCTGTCGGTATCTATCAGATATTTTATTATAATTCGGTCATTAATTTCATGTTTTATTATCATCTTAAGCAATCATTTCGCAAGCAACAAATAACTGATAATCAACTCTGTCTTAAGAGTTTTATAATATTCATGTTTTATTAATGTTAACAAATCTACATATTGATTTTCAACTTAAAAATAGATTTTTACCCCTAATTTACAACTCTCCAAAAACTGCTCAACAATATCGTGCGTAATCAGCCAGGAAAAAGGGGTGTGAAATTGTGAGCTCGTTGCTTGCAGTGCACGTGAGTAAGAAGTTCAAGCCTCCAAACACAGATGGCGCTGTGCTGACTTAAATCACGCAAGTTTTTGATTTTTTCCCAGACTCAAATAGATGGGTAAAGAGATTTGATTTATTACTCTCACTGATACGCATATAGAGTAGGTTTAATAAATTTATCCGCACGTAATTAAAATTTTTGGAGAACAGCGTACTAAGTGCTGTTTATAAAAATATCAATGTAGCTGTAGGTACTCGTAGGTGGCTGCAAACAGTCAATCGGTCGTTACTACTTAGTCCTTAGTTATTGTTGTAGTAGTTACCTAGCGCATTTTTGCAAAAAAATACCGCAAAAAAAAGTTAAAGCCGTTATCTACCTGACTAGGTCCAGGGTAAGATAGAATCTGATACATCACATCAAACTAGATATAATAAACCATCTACTGAATAAACCCACCTTAATACTAATAAATAAAGAAAACCAATGTGACCGACATAGACCGCAGAATTGCTAAAATAAGTGGCTTGGGCGGGGCTCATAGGCTCATAGAGCTGATGGCCACTGAGGCAGAAAAGTCCTATAGTGGCGACCACTGGCCGAAAGACGTAGTGTGGGCAGGCCGAAAGACGTAGTGGAGTGACGATCTGGTGAAGGTCGCGGGAAGTACCTGGATGCGGGCAGCGCAGGACCGGTCTTTGTGGAAAACCTTGGGGGAGGCCTTTGTCCAGCAGTGGACGTCATTCATTTGGTTGAAACGATATGACGAACGACGACGATACGTCACAACAATATTGAACTTGCGGGAAAGATGCCCATTTTCCTTGAGTTACCAATTCCATTATAAATGTGCGTCAAAACTGTAACGCTTTTTTTTTATAATATTAAGGCCGTGTATTAAGAAACCACGCTATATCTAAGTATCAAATCCTACTAATATTATAAATGCGAATGTTTGTGTGGATGTTTTTTGCTCTTTCACGCAAAAACTACTTAACGGATTTTGTTGAAACTTCACAGTATTATTGTTTATAACCCAGAATAACATTATAGGTTATAATTTATGACGATATGTGACAAACTAAATTTCACGCGGGTGAAGCCGCGGGCAAAAGCTAGTTACACATAATTATGAGACACGTACGTATTGTTTCAGCCAAATGACGTCCACTGCTGGACAAAGGGCTCCCCCAAGTATTTCCACAACCGGTCGAAAACTCATTTCGGCGGGTCGGCGAATTGTTGTGTAGACTGCATTATATTTTCTTCATACCAATTTCGTTGTGAGCTCAATGACAGTTCAGTTCAACGCTCTCCAGACAAAAAATTATCCTTGAATGCTTGGGTTTTATAGCAATCAAAAGATCAAGGAAATCATCTATGTTGTCTTACCGACGTTACGAGTATCCATGCTGAAATGGGTCGTAATCGTATGGGACCGGCTGATGGGGAAGACATGGTGGAAAAAACGCAGCATGAATCATCATGTCAAAATAACGAATGTTACTTGTAAAAACTCTAAGTTCTTTAAGCTCGCCAGTTGTACCACTATTTTTTGTTTGCAATAAAGATTTTAAATAAATAAGTACATTCATTGCCATCGTTTTAAAGATGAAAACTTTAATATGATAAAATGGTAATAACCCGTCTGGCTAGAGTGAGGAGTGTAGGCCAAGCCCTCCCTTATACCTTTGGTAAATTTGAAAAAGACGAACTCCAGTACAGTGGAGGTTAAAATGACCTAATGATGAAGCTTGGGATGGCCATGTTTCGATGCCTGGTTTTTTAGGGTTCCGTAGTCCTGTGACAAGGAACCCTTATTCAAGGGTTATAATGAGACGCGGGGAGTGCTTGGATTCGGGCAGCGAAATACAGGTTATTGTGGAAATCCTTGAGGGAGGCCTTTATTCAGCTGTAGATGTCATTCAGCCGAAACGATATGGGAAAAAAATTAGGGTGATAAAGTAGAAACTATATTCAGTTACGAGAACCTTCACTGATTGGGTTTTTTTATTGGCGGTCAAGCTGTAGATAAAATGAAATTGTTTATTCAGTACATAGGCCCTTTCCAGGGTACTTAAACACGTCCCAAATATAGCTTGCCCTACCACCACTTCGGGACAACATAATGGGCTGGTGCTGAGAAGAAGTGGCGGAATAAACTCAGTCACCTTTGTCAGCCTCCTGGCCACAAAGGAGTTGCAGCGGTGGGAACAAAAGTTAAAAATAGTCCTGTTCAGTCATCATTCACTCGTCATGTCTGTGAACAGGCGCTGCTTTCGGGGACTGGTCAATCCAAGTTATTCAAATTTATGTATGCGAGTAATTTCTACTAGTATTTAAGTATCTTAATCTGTAAGTCTAGATATTAGCACGTCACTACCTTGTTTAATATACCATGCAATTTTGTATACCCATTCTTGTAAGATACACCATACAAGAATGCATGGTAAATTCAGTGAACTGCTCTTGAATGAAATGTACCTACTACTGCTATTTCTGTTTATTTATATTATCCGGCATACAGTGGTGACTGAGTTTATTGCGGCGCTTCTTCTCAGCACTTGCCAAATGTTGGTCTCGAAGCGCTGGTAGGGTAAAAAGATTATGAAACGTGTAGAGGCTCTTTAAGAGCAAAATATTTGACGATTTGTAAGTACTATTTATTAGTCTAAACAAATAAAGAAATTTTTACTTTGACTTTGACATTAAGAAGTAGAGGAGAATCAACTAAATAAGTAAGCGTTTGCCAGCCGCGTCGAAACGTCCGCACCTATCTGCCGTGTTCGTTGATAAACGCAGGCGCCGGCGCACCGCGCGCAGTGATGGCGGGATTTCGCGCGTGTCTGCTGGCCGCGGCCGTATGCGCTTATGCGCTTTCAGGTGTGTTAGCGTGTTTGTGATTGTGTGGTTTATGTTTGTGAATTAATATGCGAAAAATATGTGAATTGTTTATGTCGTGCATGGGAAATGTTTAAAAACAGCTAAATCTTTGCGGAAACTGAAATTGACATTTATATTTCTGTGTTTACAAACATCTTTCAAGTTATAAAACTTAATAATTTTCAAATTTATTTTTCTCATTCATAAAACTAAGTCATTTAACTAAACTTCTTACGTATCTTTTCATTCGTACAGATTTTCTTTTCAGAAACAATTTTACTCAAACCTTTTGAAATTCGACTAAAACAATAAGTTTTCATTACCCCGAAATATAAAACTGATTACAACAATTTGAAAATTATAAACAAGTTTTTACTTCAGCAACTACTGAAACCAAAAATTCTTTCATCACATCATCTAAGGATTAAATAAATCATCATCAAACATTAAATTCTCTTGAAAAAATTGACTGCTCTAAGAAGTAATAATAGTTAATTGCTTAGAAACTATGTTTTTATCCGAGAAATTCAAGAACAAATCTCTACATATCTTTCTAATCATCAGTTGTTCCTAACAATTTTTCAACTTATTGGCTATTCATTATCTAAATAGTTCTCATTATCTACTACCAAATAAAACATCACCACCTCCTTTAATAAAACTTTATTCTAATATTTAACCCTAAAACCGCAAGTGTTCCTTACGTAAATACTCGTCTCATCAAGATTTCTATTCTTGGGCGAGCTATACTGCCATTGTGGTCAGTCGGATCACAATTTAACCAGTTCAATCATCCTTTACAACGTCCAGACCGCAGAGGCGAGTTTATAAATGTTACAATACCTACTCCGTTGGCCTTACCAGCTCCATATTTGAAATCCCAGATTAAACTTACAGTTTTATTAAAAAAAATCTTAATAGGATTGAAAATTTTATTGAATCTGTCTGAAAAATATCTTAGTGTGACATTTAAATCAAATCAACCGATAGCGTAAATTACGGTACTGAAAAAATAATTGGATTCACCTTGTCAAGACTGGTAAGTCCTTGTTTTAATTCAACAAACTTAAACTTGAACTTTGAAAAGAAAACAATACACCTTCAGGACTTGCACGTCATGCGCGTGTGTATCATATGAATCAAATATTTCCCTGTCTATCTGTCCTTATGTATGCTTAGATCTTTAAAACCACGCAACGGATTTTGATGCGGTTTTTTAATAGATAGAGTGATTAAAGAGGAAGGTTTTTAAGTATAATACATTGTACCTGTGCGAAGCAGGGGCGGGTCGCTAATAACCTATGTGACGTAAACAATTAAAGGGTTATCCCAAACCTCAATGTTTAATGTCATTTTAACATCACCCCGTCCTGATAGATTATTTTTTGGAAATAAATAATGTAGAATCGTTTATCGAGAAGATCATCTGTAAATTATTTACTGATGGAAAAACTTAACGCAAACATTGCTAGCCACAAACACATTTTTTTACCTAACTGATATGAAAAAACAGACACCAAAACAATGGAAAATCACATGTTTTGACATTTACTTTATCAACCTGGCAGTAACACAGTGTGATAATTTTTACCTGGGACGTGACTTTTTAGAACTAACACGGAAATACTGGACGTGATGAATTCTATGTGTATCAATTTAATTAAGTAATATATCTATTGGTTAACCAACGCTAAAACAACGTGTTTTAACTTTTTTATCTACAGTTGAAAAAATAATTTTATGTGTCACCGCAACTTTACATAGATTGTCTATAGAAATAGGTTGAAGTATGGTCTAGTTCAATAAACAATGATAACGTTTCAGACGGTAAAGAATAGGTACATATTTGCGATCATATAAAATTGCGGTTTATTCCCCAAAAGCGTGGAACGTTAGGCCAGGATATTACGCATAAGAAAAATTAAAAAACCCTAAAAAAGTTGTTACTTTTTAAGTAAATACCTAAACGAGGATAGCCCCCTTTTGCTTACTTATAATTTGACTATCATACTAGAATCACCCCTTTAGAAGTGGTTTATTTTTTCCATTATATAGAGGCTAAGAAAATACTGAAGAAAGCCTATTCCACCTAAATTGAAATGCATCGCTCTACATTACCGTGACGTCATAGTACACGCAACCTACAATTCAGCAATTAAATTGGCACCTTAAAGATGTATCTGACGTAGGGGTTTGACCCAAGGCTGACCAGACCGGGTCAGAATAATAAAATTGAATGATTAAAGAGTCAAAAATTGCATCGCGAGTGGATCAAGGTTCGCGTGCTCTTGCATATTCGATTGGGTAATAAACTTAAGTTATGATGCAGTTTTGAAATTAATAAGAGGTCAAAGTTCACAGACACAATAAAACAATTAAGATAATATTTTAGTGGGAATCATAATATGATTACCAAAAATGACTTAAAAATTAATAAATGGTATTTATTTTATTTTAAATCAAAACATATTATTATCAAATCTGTACTACATAAGAACAATGCAAATGTATGAAACTAGCTTTTGTTAGCGTGAAATTCAGTTTGTCACAGATCATAAATGACTATGGCCTATACATAATGTTTTATCAAAATCCATCCAGTAGTTTTTGCGTTAAGCAATAACAAACATAGATCCTCACAACTATCGCATTTATAATATTTGTAGGATAATTATATCATTCTGAAGTATGTATAAACAAGAATAATGTAGGTAATGTTTTATCAAAATTCGTTCAGTAGTTTTAAAGTGTAACAAACATACACCCAACATCCTTTAAAACTTTCGCATTTACGATAATAGTAGGAGAGAATGGGAGAAAAACTCAGAAAAAATACTTCTTTCAAATCGAACTTCCTTTTCACATTAAGTAGCAATACGTAACCAAGGTCAAGTTTATCGAACCAACGACCCGACCTCGTGCGCCACAGACCTTATTAGCCGTACAATGCGATATTTTAACGGCCCTTTTCCGGAAGATCCTGAAGTGTTAAAAAGTCCTTTACCTTGAGTGAAACAAGTTACAAATTGTAACTTAAGATATTATTAAAGTGTAATGCAAATAAAAATATCATTTTTAAGATAATTATGTTTCCTTGCCTATTTCTTTGTGTTTGTGACATTATGTAGGTACAATAAAATGTCTATACCTAATCAATAATGAAGTAGGGATAGTGGCTATTAATTCGCCGTAATATTATTAATTGAAAGCAAAGATCCAAAAACTATAAAAAAAATACCATGCCTATTCAAGGGTTAAAATTAAAAACGTGTAATATTAACCATACAAATATTTACATGTTAAAATAGGTCAATTATACGAGTTATTGTCAATTTGCCATAATACCATAGATTCATCACACTTTTGTTGAAAATAAAATAGAGCCTAATTACTACGTGTAATTTTGCAGAGACATACTTAATATCACATTATAATTTTATTATAACAACATAACATTATAATTTTATTGTGACGAATATTTTTTATTTATATATTTAATCTTTATTAAAGAAACATACAGCCTTGTTTGATACTCGTACATGCAGCTTAAAATTAAGTGAGTTACATACATACAGGGTGTCCCAGAATGGGTGAATCAAACTGCTAGGGGAGGTAGCTCTACTAATGTACTATGCCTAAAAAATATGAAAAAAAAAGCGCATTAAGATACAATTTTTTTTTTAAAGTGAAAATAAATCAGCTTTGACTAAGTATCTGGCTATAATTGCTGCGTTTGGAGTTTATTTGTACTTTTTTCTTATTAATTATTATTTGTAAATGATAGCTTCGTTTATCTGTAAACAAACTTTTGAAAATAATGACTAGATTTCGAGTTTAGAGCAATTTATTTAAAAAAAAAATCCAAACTCAAAAATTTTTTTTTCATATTTTTTGGGATAGTACATTAGTAGAGCTACCTCCCCTAGCAGTTTGATTCACCCATTCTTGGACACCCTGTATAATTTTCCATGTGACGAGTAGACTGTGGCAAATCGACGATAACCCGAAAAGACCACGCACTAACCAACTCTCTCTTTACAGAAGAGATCGTGTCCACACCAAAACCGAAAAAGGTTTTGGACACGGTCATGAACCCTTCGTACATTCCAGCCAAAGAAAAACATGGTAGCTACTGGAGGAAGCTGGCATCTACCACCTTGAAGTCCAAGCTGAAGGAGACCCCCAATACGAATAAGGCGAAGAATGGGATCTTGTTTATAGGAGATGGAATGTCGATCACAACTGTGATGGCGGCCAGGACATTTGCGGGGCAGTTGGATCGAGGACTTGGGGAGGAGAACGTGCTGGAATTTGAGAAGTTCCCCGTCACTGGGTTGGCTCGGGTGAGTTGATTTAGATCTTATTTTCTAGGGATTACAGTTTTAAAACTGAAGGCGTTTGGCACAAGGAATTAAGAGCTTTATATCTGAAACCAGCTTAGTCTTTGTAAATACAAACTAAATGGAATCCAAGGATCCATCTAATCCTTTTTAATTGGTGAAGCTCGCTTCCACCTTCGGCCTGATCATCACTTACCATCAGGTGAGATACAGGCCAAGAACTTCCTCGTTGTGGATAAAAAAAACATCAAATTTGACATTTATTTTGATCTCGCGAGATTTGAACGTACACCAATAGCTTGCGACCACTAGGTACCACCGCAGCCACTCGTCCAGACATGACTTTTACACTTTGAGTACATGCTTCTTTGAGATTTCCGAGGTTCTAAATGTACTAAATCTTATTATGGGTTCCAAAATAGTTCTACCTTCATTATTTAGGTTTCACTGACCAAGCTTTGGGCAAATGGGAAAGAGAGCTAGGATTAGTCCCGCTACCAAAAACTGGTAAAAACCTCTACCAAAACCGCCATTAACTAGTAAAAAAACTCATTTACGTGACACTTACATTTGTTCGTTTTATAAGCAAGCAAATAAGGAAGGAAGTCGCAAAGCACGGCCCGTTATCCAATTGTACCAGATTTCGGTACAAAAAAATTTAATCGACGCACATTGTTGTCAATGTACCAAGCATCATTGGATTTTAAACTCTGATTTAATACTCACAAAAGTGATTTACTGGAGTTTAAAGTAGCGATCGTAAATGTTACATAAACTTTTTTTCTTATTTTGTTTTGGATTACTGTTAATCTGTCGTGGATCATCGGTCATTCGAACTAATCTAGAGGTACCTATTTGAAATTGCATCTGTATACTTTACATTTAAAGTTTTTATTACTTTGATAGGTCATTAAAATTTATGATACTAAAGAATTTATAACATTATTATGTTATTAAATAATTATGTAATTTCAGCAGTTCATGATGTTAGATACATATTTAATTAAGAAAAAATATTATTTTTTTATTGAGGGAACTAATGTAGAGTTCGAATTGACTCTTGGTTGTATATTATATTTGAAGGAAGTTTATTTATTTTGTGTAAAATCTCATACAAAATAATAAACAAAATAATAATAATCAACCGGAAAACTAACTCAAATCGTTAGTTTAGTTTGACCCATTATCGGCTTAGGTATAAAAGAATTTATGAAACGGAACGAATAAAAAAATCAATAAGGTTTTTGTCGGTCCTTTGTCAATATCATATTTTACTTACACACCATCGATTTAATTCTGGTGCACTATATTTCTTTAAGCTGAAAGCACATCGGATTAGCTAATATTTGACGCAAAATTACATTTGTATATATTATCGTTTCATCCACGAAGACGCGCCCCACCAATTTTTGGTGGAGGGAAGCGCGGGGTGCGGGGAGTTTGATCCGAGCAATCAGAGTGTCATTATTGTAGTGTGCGTGTGCACTCATGGATATTTAGCGTGTACCGATAACACTCAAACATTAGCGGAAGAATGGTGGGGCGCGTCTTTGTGGATGAAACGACCTATGCAACTGCTAAAGATGTCAGTGATGCCAAAATACTCGCATTTAACTTAAAGTGCTGTCGTCTGTATGTACATCAAGGAAATCTGGTGATTTTTTTATGTTTTTATTACCTTATAGTTTAGCATTTTACTTTTTCCTGGTTAAGTTATATCGCCTTGTTGTAGTTTATTGTCATTTTTGTAGTGGCCTTTATTTTTGCATCGTTTTATGGAGTTAATAATTAAGTTTTCATTGACCTAAAAATAAACAAGTCTTTTATTGTAAAGTAGCAATTTCAGTGATTAAAATTATCCGCTAATAAATATTGAATTGTCATTGATACACATTTTCAAGTTTCCAAGTAATTGCGGGGTATTTATCTTAATGTCATTATCATTATCTTCAGGTAAGTTGTCTCCATTGCAAGAGCATGATCCTAGAGAGGCTAAATTAGAGAATTTCGTTCGTTAGTTTCAGCCGAAAGACGTCCACTGCTGGACAAAGGCCTCCCCCAAGGATTCCCACAAAGACCGGTCCTGCGAAATTAGAGACTTTACTAGATGAAAATTAAGGATTTGGCCTAAATTCCCAACGCGCTGGACAGACTGGCTGAGAGGCCTGTTGTTCGCATATTCCTCCCAGTTACCCTACACGACATACGCCCGTATTCATAAACGATGCTTGCTTAAGTGAAGCAGCAAATCGGACGCACAGCGTTTAATAGAGCTCTGTGATTGGTTCGTGTCACCCGGTGCGTCCACCACACGCACTGTGAGACCTCATAGTAATGTTTGTGAATACGTCGACAGGCACGCACGGGAAGAATGAAAGTAATTCCTAATCTACTCTGCTTGAAATTATGAAATGTAATCTGTCAACGTGAAATTGTGAACTTTGTCAGTTTATAATATAACGCGTTAGATTGTAAACTAACAGTGGGTTAGGTTAGGTTAGATTGTAATTTAACTACGTCAGATTATAATCTGACGGAATTCACAATTTTACGGTGACATATCTATCTCTTACATGAATCTAAACATATTCTATTGTCTTCAGCTTTTATTTCATTAATAGCATCAAAGTAACTGTAGTGGTTTCAAAGGTGACCACGGATTCAAAGGTGCCATATTTTTCTTCTCTAATATTAAAATACTAGCTTTCCGCCCGCGGCTTCGCCCGCGTGGAATTTTGTCTGTCACAGAAAAACAATATCGCGCGCGTATTTGCTCACCGTTTAGACATACCCAAATGACAAACATTTTAAAAACAAAATCTGCTCAATCGGCCCAGTCGTTCTCGGGTTTTAATCAGACTAACGAACATCAATTCATTTTTATTTATATAGATAGATAGATAAATTATGCCCCATGTATGACACTTGTTGCACTACTTGTACTATGTTCTATTTACTGCTACACAAAAACATAGTTTGAAGAGCTGTCTGTAGAATGACGACGTATTTAATTAATGGCACCTTTCACGACCACGAGTCATAGTTAGACCTTTCATTAGCTGAAGTACTTATTAAGCGAGCGAGTCTACCTCGATATTATCTACTTATCGAGATGAAACTGCTTCTTTTTCTTAGTCGAAGTTTTTTAGGTAAACTGAAATAATGTACTTGTGTTATGTTTAAAAAAAAAAAAAAAATATTTATTTTTGTGACAAAAAGTGGCAGCCGCATCGCGGGCTGTGGCCAACCGCTAGTGTTACTTTCAAACAAATTATTGTTATGAATATTATGTAAATCGATGACTCTAAAGGCTCCATTCATTGACACTTGCGTGTAAAAGAAGTGACACGACACGACCCGACACGACACTGTCACGTTCATGATCAAGGAGAATGCGCACGCGCCGAGGTCTCATTATGGTCATTGTGTTTTTATCTAGAGGAAGCTCTTGGCCTACATTTCACCTGATGGAAATTAAGTGATTATCAAGCCAAAGGTGACAGCGAGCTTCTCTAAGAATCCTCAACCACAGACACCTCACAGTGGAACTGACTTTCTTACCTCCGACTGCCGGAAAACAGAAAAGCTGTTAACATTGTTGTTATGGAGACAGACTTTGATAATATCAAATACGGGCTAGCCAGGCGGACGTAGGCCCTACCAGCAACCAAACCTAACAGAATGGTTGATGATCAACGGGACTATTAGTTATTTGTGCAGTACAAATACGGACCTCTACACCAAACGGCCAACAATTGTCCATAATAATTTAGTAGAAGTCTCTATTATGTAAGCTATCATAATATTTTTATACAAACTACTATCACTGTAACATTGCTATTATACTGAAGGTACCTATTTCTTTTCAAGGAAAACCAAGGTTTCAATAGCTGTCATTAGGTAAGTATTTATTATTCAGAGCTGTTTTATTCTTAAGGAAATTCTTGACGGTGAAGTCCCTTTACTTTAAAAATGGTTTACGCTTATACATAATATTCCAACGGAATAGGTAGAGTATAATGTTTTTCTAAGGCTGGGTTGCACCATCTTACTTTAAATGTAATAAACGTCAAAAATCTGCCAAACTCCATACAAAAGAACCGGTTATCGTTAAAGTTACAGTCAAAGTTAGGTGGAGCAACTCAGCCTAAGTATTTACCGATATTAACTTTTTGACATATCGTCACCGTCGTGGCAGAATTAAATAACTGACACTTTTGGCAAAAACCACTTTTTCCACTTTTTGTATAGTAGAAAGTGTTACCTATATTTTGGTCTTACTCTCGTGGCAATATCTATGATATTTCCAAAGATATCTTCAGTTGAGTGAAACTGTTGACCATAAATTACAACTCTATTTGTTGTAGAATTTACGTGGCAAAACTGAATAAGTGACTTTATTTAATTCTGCCACAACTCGCTGCGAAACATTGCTTCAAAATACTTGTACTAAGAAAGTCAATAAGTGACTTTATTTAATTCTGCCACAACTCGATCCGAAACATTTCTTCAAAATACTCGTAAAATTGTGTTTTTGATTTATTTCATTTTTGTAACATTACTTTAAATGTTACTTTTAATTTCAATGTTCATTACTCAGATGTTGAATCTGGATAGTTACCTTCATCATCATCATCATTTCAGCCTTATAGGACGTCCACTGCCGAACATAGGCCTCCCCCAATGATTTCCAATATGACCGGCTGGTAGCGGTCTGCATCCAGTGCTTTCCTGCTACCTTTATGAAGTCCACGTTGTGCTTTCCGGTACGTGCCCTCCTCTCCAGAACCTTCTATTTCTCAGTTCTGCCTATTATTTGCCCTGTCTCTTGTACAGAAAAACCGAGCATAACCCTCTTCAAAGCACGCTGTGCAACTTTGAGCTTATTTATAAGGCCTATAGTAAGAAAGTCGCGTTCTCGAGCCGTATATCATCAATGGTAAAACACATACAGATTGTAGATTTTCGTCTTTAGGCACTGAGATATTTTGGACGAAAGGATG